GTCTCATAATCTTTTTACCCTACCAGCGCTTCGAGACCAACATTTCGCAAGTGCTGAGAAGAAGCGCGCAACAAACTCAGTCACCACTGTCTGCCGGTTAATGTAAATAAATAGAAATAGTAGTAGTGGAACAACAACCTAGAATTGATTTCAATGTCAGAAAAATACCTTTAGGAAAATCAAGTAACATAATATCCAAATTATTATACTTGGTATTGGTAGAGCTGCCAACTCTAGATGCTAGACTAGTCGTACAAATAGCTATTAATAATGCATCAAACATGATTGTTTGTTCAACTACTCATGTATGAATGAGTATGGGTAATAATCTCTGGATCAATCCGTTCTAAAAATACCGTAAGGCTCGGTTTCCACACAGGCTGAGCGGTGCGGAAACGAGATATGTGCAACGAAGTTGGCAGGCTATTTCCACCAAAGCGGAACGTAGAAGACCGGAGAGGAAACGAGAGGAGATGTGTGAGCTGTGCGTAGCTGTCAGCTGTCAGCTGTCAGTCTATTGCTATCTATGAAACACCGCACAGCTCAGCACAGCTCTTCACACATGCACCGCTCCGTACCGCGCGCGTCGCGGTCAAATTCTATGAAATGAAGTAGTTTATTCAATACATAGGCCCTTTCCATGGCACTTATACACGTCCCAAATATCCAAATATAGCTTGCCCTACCACCACTTCGGGACAACATATGTATAGGCTGGTGCTGAGAAGAAGTGGCGGAAGAAACTCAGTCACCTTTGTCAGCCTCTTTTTCAATCCGAGCTTGGCAGGTAAAGTCCACGCACTCTTGTCGTTTAATGTAATCGTTTACTTTATAGTATCCTTTTTTCATAAGGATTTTCATAACCTGTACTTTGAATTTGAATTTGTATTTTATTAAACATTTAATACTATTCGCCTAACCTAACCTAACCTACCTATAGAAAAACAAGTTCAACCGACACTTCTACCACGGTAATACTATCTATCTACGCTCTCTCCATTTCCACCGAAGCGAAGCGGAGCGATAACACTTCTTTGCTCCGCTCTGCCTTTATGGAAACCGTACCTAAGAATAAACAAGATAGCAACGATATCCCAAGAGTCATGGGCTTTTTGTCCTAAGTCAATATACAAATCGCGAATATTTTCGGAACCGATCGCTCACGGGGACACAAGTTTCGTGATTGAAGGTTGCGGGAAGCGCCCACCTGCCCGATAGACGGACGACATAAAAAAGGTTACGCTATCGGATGCAGACCCCAGAGACCGTTCTTAGAAGTCAAAGGTTTTTTGCAACTTTTGTACTTTTTTGAGGAACTAAACTACATGTAAGCAGACCTTTTGACAAATGCTAGTCTATTAGATTAGGTATTGAACTAATAAAATCATTGCAGATCTGAAATGTATCAAGCAAAATAATTTTAATTAACTAGGTATACAGAGATAGAGGCTAGTTGGGGTTGAAAAAGTATATTTTTTTTAGTTTTAGAATACCTAAATACTAAATATTACACGCGACCGATTATTTGACGTTATGACTTTGTGTCATTTTAAAATCCACGCGGACAAAACCGCAGGCAGAAGCCAGGTATTTATAAAACAATTTAATGTCCCTTTTAGAGATTCAATCATTATTTTATCGCTTTCCAACGTGACACATTAAACGAATAACACAAGCTATTGGTTAAGGCCCGCTCCACACGACGGCCTCAACATTTAGATTAAAATAAAAAGTGAAGATACGACATAAAGCATCTCTTAAGTGCCACACTCAAATCGGCCCTCGCATGACTAACTATCCTATCTCAGTTTTGCCACTTTCTCAAAACCATGGATTTTCAGTTAGGCCATTTCAAATTTAGTTTCTGTTTATACTTTACGGACCTCGTAGGAGGAAAAATACAGAAACGTGAGTTAGAGAAAATCGTAGACAATGGAAGCAGGAAAAAATTTGTAGTTCGTTAGGACTTGAGTTATTAAATCGCCAAAAGACTGAGATAGGATAGTTAGTCATGCGAGGGACGTAATGATGTCCCAGGACATCATTTTTGACAGATTCACTGACACTGACATTCGCCATGTTATCAGAGGGCCTTGTTTCAACCATAGCAACGTAAGCGCATGCCGTAAGTTCCATTTTTGTTATAAAAGTTTAACCCCAACTCCAATCGCACAATACGTGAATCTAGAAAATAGCTTGTCCCATGTTTTTGTCAATATCTACTATTTTTGAGATCACTGTCACCGCCACTCGTCCAATTTCTGAGTAGAGATTAGAAGTTGGACGAGTGGCGTTGTGTCCAATGTTGGGGCCAACGTTTGCAGCCGGCCTTACCGCTAGATGTTGAAATAACATGGACACATGACAATTATTAACGCCATTACGCGATCGACGCGTTGATAAGTCGCAATCATCAAAACACTGGCCATTACAATAGACAATATAGTTTTTAAAACACGCCTGAGTGGATCCAAACAAAAGACGTATAAATGAAATACAGTTTCTATTAATGATTTATGCTTATTAGCCATTTTGTTGATTAGTTTTCGTTAAGTAATTGAAGTTTAATTTATTTATTGTCTTTATGGAATAAATTGTTACTCAAACTGAATTTCAAGATATTGATTTATTTGCCAATCAAATTAGCTACAATTTTGTTGATACTTAAATTAGATGTCGAAAAGATCATGAATTATGGTTAGTATAAGAAAATTAATATGTTTACTGGCAGACATAAACAATTTATGAGCATCTCTACAAACCGAGTTCAAAGAAAAATAATGATGAAGATGTCCAAAGCCATAAATTCTGCACAATTTACTCTATGATTGAAAATAAATCAAGCACTTAATATACCTATCATAAAACTGAAGTCTACCAAAGCTTTTATGTCATCTCCGAGTGGCCATAAAATAAACAACTCAATTGATTGGAAAGCTCGATGCAGAACTAAGTTCGCGGCTAAAATACACTCGACATCAAATAAATCGCACCTCCACTTACAAACGTATGGATCCCCGCTTCCCACCAATATTGACACCATTTAAAATCCTAGTTCTAAACTGCATTTCATTAAAGGAAAGGTTTTTATCCCAAAAATTTGTCTTTAGAAGGATCCAGAGTCACTTCTTCAAAAAATAGGTAGTTACGTTTCAGCCAATTTTTATGGCTATCATATCAAACTGTTAAGTTGGGATTAATCGCTATCCATCTGTTAAAGAGGACACGTGAGATCATTATTTGGTTTTATAACCATAAAAATTGGTTTAATTGATCCCAGAGGTGAGCCCAAAGTGAGGTCTTTTTTCAAGTCACATTTATGGTAGGGGAGAGTTCGGTATATTGTACCGCCGGGTAAATTGTACCACCCTCATATTTCGTAAAGTATTTATTGAATGTCTGTAATTGCAACACTCAGCGATACACAACTAAAATCAATTAATATCGACCATGCGGTTTTTGCCGTGACAATTAACACGTGTATTTTATTTTGAAAAGTATTTTTTCATTGTTTTCAAGTAACTTTTGACAATACATGTTTAGTTTGTAATTTTGTTAAATTTAACCACAGGGTGTTTCTAATATATTATTTAGAAGCGTAAATTAGTGTGGATTACAATTATTTGAAACATTTTTCGGTATTTATAAGCTATATTTTTTACCGATTTTTTAAAAGCACTATCACCTAGTCGGCTAAATTGTACCACATCAAGTCGTATGGAACTTCACCGAAGGATTTCGAATTTTTTTTTAGTAAATCATATTTTGTAATTATAATAGCGTAGTTATGTTTGACTAACAATAAATGAAAGCAAAAGACTGGCAAAGTAGATTAGGTACAAGTGTGCGTTACGATAATTGGAATTACAAAACTTGTACTCAAAATCGTGATAACGTGTAAAACACTATCGATTGACTATGTTATTAACTACTGTTCCTTTTCGTTTCCTAATTTGTTAAGAATGTATCGTATAATATTTTGCCAGGCTTGAAATTTATTGAAATCCAATTTAGTAACCCTGTGGTACAAATTATCGAACCGGTTGGCTAAATTGGACCGAAGCTCTGAACTCGTACTTTGTTGATTTGTGCTAAATATACAACAATCATGTTAATTAATACTTATGAAATAGTAAGTTGAATAATGTATCTTTTATTATATACCATGGACATTAGCAAAAACAAAAGAAAACTATGTGTAAAATGGGATTGAAAAAAACTGGTCCAAATTAGCGGACTCTCCCTTATTATAATCATTTATTAAGAAATTAAATGTGTTTTTCTTTAAGGATATTTATTAGGTTTTCAAATAACACCAATATTGTTGGGGCACCATGATTGTGTAAGAATAAAATCTTTAAAGTTCGCGTCGCGGAAGGTGCGATTTATTTGATGTTGAGTGTAGTTCCAGTACTTCCAATCAGACAGCAATAAAAATAAATTGAACTCTCCACTGCATTTCCGGTGGAAAGTGGGGGTAATAAATATAAGTACCCTCTATTTTGCAGGGCGGGACGGTTCCCACCTCTCGTTCCCACTGCAAATCCCGTACAACTAGATAGTTGGACTCGGGAGAAAGTTTTATAGAAAGTTTGCTTGTTATTAATTTTTAAATCACACGGAATCCATTCATTTGGAAACGTGATTACAGATTTATTTAACATTAATTTTAATAAGATTCTTCGTACATGAATCTAACATGAGAAGAAATTGCTTTGGAAGAAACATTATATTTAATTGGCCACGATTAATTGGATGGTTCTTTCTCACAGATGTAGCTGAAAGTGTTTAATCGTGCAATACTCTTGTGCCGTATACACACATAAGTTTTCTATGTATTAACTTCTATTTAAATAAGTTGTCATGTAAATTGAGTCAGTGTAATACAATTGATCGGAGCAATAAACATCGTTCAACCACAAGTATTGTGTCGTCTCTCATTAATTACACTCACCCCGCGCATACGCGCGCACATTGGTGACCCCGACGTGATCCGCGACATGCAGTCCACGCAAGCAACACCAGAAGACAAAATGGAACTATCAGCAGTGACAGTGTCTTCAAGGATCCCTGATTTTTGGCGTGACCAACCCCGACTTTGGTTCGTGCAATGCGAGGCGATACTGGGACCGCAAAAATTAAGCGACGAAGCGAGATACAACTTGGTGGTCACAAAATTGGGAAAGGAGGTCGTCGAACAAGTTAGCGACATACTACTGAAACCTCCCGAGTCTGGAAAATTCGAAGCCTTGAAAACTCGCCTAATGACTGTCTACGAGGAATCGGAGATGCGACAGTTCCAAAAACTCTTAAGTGAGATGGAACTTGGCGACCAGAAGCCCTCCCAGCTCCTGCGTCGCATGAGTGACCTAGCTCGCGACAAAATACCCGATGAGACTCTAAAAATCATGTGGCAGAGCCACCTTCCGTCGTCCGTTCGAGCCGTGCTTGCCGTCAGCGATGTCCAGGTTTTGGATAAATTAGCCGCCATTGCTGATAAGGTCATGGAGACCTCCAGACCCATACAAATATCCGAAGTTCAGGCGTCACCTTCAACCAGTTCAAACGGTGACCATGCTTTTATTTTAGCTGAAATAGATAAAA